GGATAAAGAGAAACTGCCATTATTTAAAGTAGCCAATTTGGGATGTTATGAAAGGCAAATAAATTATTCCTTCTGCTTCTGTTTTTTACAACCAAAAATAGAGAGAAGCTTGTGCCTATATTTATTTATTTTTATTTATTTATTATTAAATTACTTGGCTGGTTTACTGGATACTTTGATTTGGCTGCATTAAACTATTTTCAGCTCTGGCTTAGGTAACAAATGACACGGGCAAACCCGCAAAATTCATATGATCAGAATCGTTATCTAAAAAAAGCAAAGCTGGCTTTTGCAAAGGCATTTATTTCTGTAGCCCAGGGCTGGAAAACAGGACCCAGTTCAGAAGCCAGAAATTTTCTCCAGTCTAGATGATATTCTTGAGTGGTGGGGACAAAATCCAAACCTTACTTCCTGTCATCCAGCTGGAGGGTCTACAAGTTTAGAGGTCTATCTGAGGGTTTTGGTAAAGAAGATCTAGAAAGAGAAATAGAACATTTACTTAAAACCTATCTTGACCTGAACTTAGATAAGACCCTAAAATTCAGGAAATCTACAAAATTCTTGGGCAGCACAAAGGAGAAAATTGCCATGGGATATACTCATTAAATTCAGATATTTCAAGACTAAAAAGGCAATACTGGAATTATAAAGTAGTAAAACTTGGAGATACAACAATAGAGTTTTTACCAGGTGTACTTGCAAATATGAGAGCCAGTTTGGTGCATGGGTTAAAGGCATCGGACTCAGAGTGGGGGACTGTGAGTTCTAGTCTTGCCTTAGGCACAAAAGCCAACCAGATGACCATGGGGGAATCATTCCCTCTCAGCTGTAGGAAGAAGGCAGTGGCAAACAACAACTGAAAATGTTGTCAAGAAACTGCATAGACAGGTCCATGTAGTTGCCAGGAATCAAGGCTAACAAATATACACACACACCCTCAAAAAAACCTCTCTAGATATACTTCAGAAAAGTAGAAGCCTGAGGTCTTTTTGGCAAGTGTTCTTTGAGATAAAAAGATCAGATACAGATAGGCTACTCCATTTCCTCTGAAGGTCTTTATGGATGCAGGTAAAGTTTTTGTATTTCTATTGAGGATGCTAATAGAATGTTTGAGTCTTTATCTACAACAGAAGGGGAATTGGGGAATTAAGACTGAGAATAGATAGAAGATCAAAAACTGGACTAAGCAGATAGTACTTCTTTCTAAATTAACCTAAGAATTGTTGTCATGAATCAAATTAAAATGTTCTCAACCAATATTAAAGGGCTGAATAATCCATTTAAAATGAAAAAAATCTCTACATTAAAAAAAGGAAAACGTGCATATTATATGCCTTCAAAAGACACACATTAAAAATAACATAACTCTGATGGAATGTAAACATCTCAAAAATATGTGGCCTCAGAAGGGGAAAAAAGTGAAACATTTACCATAGACTCTAGGGAAAGCATGTATGACTAGCTGCTGACAGGTAAGATTGACAAGCTTAAGCACCATTTGAATATTTTGGATCAGAGGGGAAGACTTACAAGGCTCAACCTTGTAAGGATAACTCATCAAGATCACACTAGATCCATTTGAGAGGGTTTTTTAAAAATTACTCTTTAGTTTATAAAACTTATTCAAGGGCAGACATGTGCTGGATTTCTAAATCATTGTTAACCAATCTTGTAGGCGTGGAGGTGAGGCTCCTACTTATGTACAATTTTATAGATCATAATCTAATAATTGTTAGATAAATAGATGGACTTCTAGATCAAAAAGGTGGAGACCCAATGAACTTTCATTATTACAAGAGGATATTAAACTGAATTGTTATCAGGAACTAAAGAGCTTCTTCTAAATCAGTTTAACTTTTGATGTCTCTATCTACAATATGGGACGCTAGCAAAGCATTTACGATCTGCCATCAAATAGAAAGTCATACAGAATCAGTAGGATATATAACTGAATAATCTGGAACAATTAGAACAAACAAATTCAAACAAATTTCAGTTTTAGAACAAAAGATAGAAGCAACATGGAATCAATTAGAAGTAAATAACAAGGTGAATTTTATCACATAAATACTTTGAAAAAAGTAATGTCAAGTTGTTGATCTATCTATTAGATAAGGAGTAGGATTTAAAAAAAACTATTTGGGATGGAACTAAACATGTTTCCATAATGAAAGAGATGATGGAACAATTTGTTACTATTATTCCAGATTATATAGTAAACAGACATCTAATCAGAGAAAAACTAAATATTTGAACAAAACATTACTTACAATTTACGGATCAAGTCCGTAATGAACATGAAAATGAAACTGAACAATTAAGAAACCCTAAAACTGAATAAAGCTCCAGGACCCAATGGTATTTCTGTATTATAAGAAATTCTGGTTAAAACTTTAGCACAAGCAATGAATGAGATTCAGGAGCACAAAGAACTTCCTTGATCATTGCAAGAAGGCGTTACCTCTTTGATTTATAAACGAGGAAAAGATTTAAGTCACTCAGAGTCATACAGATCTATTTCCTTATTAAATATAAATTTTTCACAGAAATATTCTCAAAGAAAATAAATGATTTTTTAACCAAAATACATCCTGATCAGGCTGGATTTGTTCCATTGATGATGTACATTTCTGACAATATCAGACATACTTTGAATGTTACTGACAAGATAAATAAAACCAAAAAACCAAAAAAGTGGCTATGATCTTTCTTGATGCAGAAAAAGCCTTTGACTATTTGGAATGATCTATCATGCTGTAGTTTTGAAAAAGATGAATTGTGCCCTAATTTTTCACATGGACACAGAGTATTTTTAAGGAACAAAAACCCAAGTTAATGGTGAATGGCTTTTTATCATCATAATACACTCTACTGAAGGGAACAAGACGTCTCCCCCCCCCCCCCCCCCCCTCT